CTACTAGAAAAACTTTTTCATAGCCTCAGTAACCAGCAGAGGTATAAGGGAGAAAAATATGGGTTCTATCTTAAGGTTTTCAGCTGTTTTTTTCGTTTTATCTGTAGGTATTCATTCTTTGCAAGAAAAGTTGCACTTTTAAAAGATACTTTTTATCCCTGTTTTATAAATGGACTCTGATTTAATAGTAATTCTTAAGGTTAGGCAATTCTGTTTCTGATGGAGAAGACTCGTAGATACTTACCTGAAACAGGCGTGCCACATTAGTGCAGTGCTCTCAACAAAATTGTCTACTGTTCTCTTTTGTTCGAAGGGAAAAAAGGTGCCTCACCTTTGAGTAATGAAACAGATTCGTACACCTGGCAGAATCTTTTTGGGCCCTTATTTTGTCTTTCCTCCAAAGCCCTGTGGTTATTTTTAGTAGAATTTAAGTGATCAGATCTATAGGAAACTTTATTTCTTGGTATGTTTATGAAACATCTATTGAGTGTCCTTTTTTGTCATGATTTAATAGACCATTCAACACCAGCCAGCCAGTCTCCTCATTCCTCTAACCCAAGCAGCCTGCCAAGCTCCCCTCCAGCACACAACCATAATTCTGTTCCATTCTCCAATTTTGGACCCATTGGGACTCCAGATAACAGGGATAGAAGAGGTGTAGATCGGTGGAAAACGGATAAGCCAGGTGAGATCCAGGCTTCATTGCTTAGCAGAAATGAAATAACTTTCTCTACTTTTCCCTGGCTTTTGGTATTTGGCAGTCATAGAACATGTTGAATTCTTATCTCTTTTCATCCTTTAGCCATGGGTGGGTTTGGCATTGATTATCTCTCGGCAACACCATCCTCTGAGAGCAGTTGGCATCAGACTACTCCAAGTGGCACCTGGACAAGCCATGGCCCCTCCATGGAGGATTCTTCTGCTGTCCTCATGGAAAGCCTAAAGGTGAGTAGATTTCAGGAACAAGAATCACAAAATAATGGCTCTGCTTCTATTTACATAAATAGCTAGGTTTATTCCTAAGGTCCTTAGAATTGATCGATTCATAGCACATACCTAGCAAAGATCTAGAAACATGGCCTGCCTTACAGGATTCTTGAATGGGATTGTTTTTTTTAACTTGTGAACTCACTAGTGATAAAACAGTGTCTTCAGGGGTCCAGAAACACAAGGTCTTAGTTGCATTCTAAGGTTAGTAAAATTCTGATTCATCTTGGAATGGTTTAAGCCTTTTCTGAACAAGTGAAAGAAGGGCATCTAATTTTTTAAAATGTTATGTTTGCCTAAAACCTGTACAGTAAATACTCTATGGTCCCACATGGAGCTAAGTTTTAGTAAAAAGACCCCACATAAAACATACTTTTACCTTTTCGGGTTTAAAATAATCTAACTAACTAGTTTTGAAGACAGCCTTACAATGACTTTTTCTGATAGCTTAATTTTTTTAGGGGGTGGGGATCTTGGGACATATATGCCTTTATATTTGGCTGGGATTGAAAAACAAGTCCTTTCAGACAACCAGACATTTGACCTCTGCTGACAAGCTCTGGGCTGTTTTTCAGTCTATCTGGTCCAGCTCCATGATGCATCCTGGACCTTCCGCTCTGGAGCAGCTGTTAATGCAGCAGAAGCAGAAACAGCAGCGGGGACAAGGCACCATGAACCCTCCACACTGAGGCCAGAGTGGCAACCCTGGGAATGAAGGCTCCATAAACCATGGCATGTTGGGTTTGCAGGACTGGCCCACACAGTCCCCTGCAGGTGGCAGCCCTCTTTTCTGTTTCTTGCTGTCAAGAGGGTGTAAGTGTTCCACCAGCCCGCTGAGTGTGCACGAAATGTCCGCAGTGCAACAAAAAGAAAAACCATCAGGAACTCTCCGTCCCCCCGGGGCCTTCCGGAGGGAGAGAGGAACTGCTGTTTGTCTCACTCAGTTACCTGATATCACCGCCTCTCACCTTCTCCATCGTGCATGTCCCCAGCCGCGTGGGAAGTGAAAGCTGAGAAGGGAAGGCAGATGGGAGAAGCCAACGGGAACTTCTCAGTCCTTTTTTCCTCTTTGGGGAATAAAATAGGAATCCATTAATGATTGCTTTGCTGACTGAGAATGTAGTTGAAATTATTCCTAAACATCTTTTATTATTGTTATTACTCTCAGTAGTGAAAAAAATCACACTGAATTCTTCCATACACAGATGTGCTGCTTCTAGTCAGTGTGTAGCAAGGAAGGGCCCGTTCACTGCACCCGTGAGAGGTCAGTGGTGACAGGATGGGGAAACGGACCTCTTCAGCCAGTGGCAGTGTTCCGTGAAGGAGAGTACAGGCCTCAGCTTTCACTCAGAAGGTTCTGGTACGCCCTCCTCTGGCCTGGAGACTCCAGCAGGAAATGCCCTTCTCTCTGTAGGTGCTCGAGCCCCAGTCGAGGATGCAGAGTTGGTGGTGGTGCTGGGCTGGACTAGCAGACGACTGCTGTAGGATTTTAATTAACGTTTTTGATTCCTGTACATTTTGCGGTAGCAGAGCAAGCAGTCTCAGAAGGCAGGCTGGTCTACTCATGGCCTGACGTTTTAATAGGTAGAAGCTTTCAGTGTGGTTATTTTCGTTTGGTTGGTTTTTGTGCCCCTGTCCTGCTTACCACCCCCATCCTCCCATCCTTCCCGCCAACCCGCTCCTCTTCTATGCTGTGTGCTAGTAATTGTTTTTATTCCTAATGTGTACATCTCGCCAAGGAGCAACAGCATGGGGTCCAGCAGTTGGGGCCCAAAAGACAGCCTGAAGAGGAAGCAAGCAGCGCGTCTCCGGAGCCCGCAGAGGGGCCCGGCCCCGCCAGCTGCGGTCTTCCAGCCTCCACTTTCAGAGAGAAATCCAAGGCCACATGGACACGTGTGTGCGTCACGCACAGAGGAAAACAACGAAGTCCATTCTGGAAAAGGCGGAAGAAAAGGAAAATAAACTTTTATTTGCTATTTATTAGAAGGAAAGAGGACTGAACATTTTCTTGTGTAGAAACAGAAGGACAGCATTTCTGTTAGTCATTTCCTGGAAAAGTAATATTTTAAGGGGAAATTATGGAAACAATCTAAATGTCCAATTGCTGTGCTAGTGGTTAGGTTTATTTTCTGGGCGGTCTCTCCTTTGTGTGTACGGCGAGTGTGTGCGCGCGCGTGCCCAGCTGCCCTCCCACAGGGGAGGGGTGGTGTGTCTGAGTGTGTGGAGTTAGTGTGGGACTTCAGAGCTGAGCAACAGCTGCAGAGCAAAGCACGTCCGAGAGCTCCAGTTGTCACTGGGTTGTCACTGGCGTCTGGGCAACCACGGCAATGAAAAGGGGTGAGATTAATGCTCACTGCTCTTCGGAGAGTGGTTGGAGTCCCGTATGATTACGTTACAGCTCTCTTAGTTCGACATGATATTTGGGGTTTTTTGTTTTGGTTTTGGTTTTTTGTTTTTGTTTTTGGAAGGTCTGAACGCGTGACGCCCCCCCACCCAGTGGCAATATGAAACCCTTTGTGCTTCTCTCCAGCCCCTTCCCTGTGTCCACCTCTCCCCAGTCCCTCCCTTCCAAGTCACCTTCCTGCTACCTTTACCCCCTTTTGCGTGTTTGAGCTCTGCATTCAGGCAGCTGCGACATTCCAGTGTTTGAACTGTCACTGACTCTTGCACCCGAGACCAGCTAACCAGGTTCACCATCTCACGCCCCGTAGCACCCGCGTCCCATCTACAGCCCCATTTCTGCATGAGAATTCGGTGTTTGGAATGTTTTCTGACTCGTGGGGCAGAGTTCCTCGCCTTAGCATCTTCAATGTGGAGTAATGAGAGAGAGGAGAATCTTCATCAGAAACTGGTTTTGTGTAGTAAACTTTCTTTTTGTTTTGTTTCTGTTTCGTTTGGGTTTTTTGTTTTGTTTTGGTCTGTCTGTGCAAGACCTGCAGCTGCTGAAATCAGCTTTGCCTTTAATTAAACCATGTTCTCTCCAACCAGATCTGTGTATAGATGGTTTCTTTTCTACCCTAAAGGAAAATCCAACTGAAAAAGCAAGAATTTAAACTTTTCAGACGTCATCTAGAAGAAAGAAGGCAAAGATGGTCAGAATTCAAATACACTTCAGGGTTATTTTTGCTGTTAGTAGGCATTATTATGGGAAGGGATGGGTAGAAAGAAACTATCAAAATCATTTTATTTAATAAAGAATGGCTTATGCAAAGGAGTTAACATCTACCATTTTTATCCCTGTTGTCTCTGTTAATAAGACCATTCAGAGATAGTTTATCCTTTTGGCCTATAAATTCACTAAGTTTGATTAGCAGCAACTAATCAAAGCATCGTTTTTAGCTCTGGGGTGGCATGTCTTTGAGTCGTGTCCAAATGTCCAGTGGCGGCCTGCTGGGCCTTCCACAGTGCCGGGGGCCAGTGCCACAGCACACCAGTCTGTTCACACTGACCAGCAGCCTTCTCACCTCGGTGTGACCCGGTCTGCACTTCATTTCCTAACTCCGCTTTTCACAAGTACCTACACGCTTGAAAAACTTAACAAAGCCACATACACTATACAAGTGCGGGGAGGGGAGTTAAGGCCAGGCCCTAACACCTAGTGTCTGTGGAATCTTTCACCCAGGCTAACACTGAAAAACAGGACATTTGGCTAAATGATAGCCAAGATAAAACCACAGCATTCTGTCACAGATATTAGTATTATACATATCATAAAATGTTAACTGATAGGATACCACTAACCAACTGGCTTCCTGTACACAGCTTTTTCCATCACTTCCGTGTTAATAGCATATATTTCAGTATTGAACTCAACAGATGTTCCTCTCTGAGAAGCAATGAAAGGATGTGATTCTAGTATTTTAATTCTCTGTGGAATTGAAAGCTGTATTCCATGGAACCTAATTCAGTCTAGGTTCTGTTTAAGCAATAAGACTTAAACAGAAAAGTTAATTTTGTGTGTTTGCCTTTTGAATTACCTGTAAAGTTACTTCAGGCCACAGGAGTCTGATAGTATCGGTTTTTTATTTTTATCACATACAGAGAAGTGCACCAACAATAACTGTACAATTCAGTGAATTTCCACAAAATGAACACATCTGGGTAGCCAGCAGAGTAAGAAACATTATCAGCACCCTTCCAGACACTTCCCACCACTCCCCCCACTTCACCCCCAGGTAATCATAATCCTAAACTCCTACATTATTGTCTAATAGGTTAAATTTTAACAGCAAAGTAGTTAACACTTGCAAACCATAATGGTCTCAGCACGATGTACTACAGAGTTGTCCTAAACCTTACAAATGAGATGGTCCTTTTCGTCTTCACCTTCACAGGTTGTGAAACCCTAGACTCCTCTAGGAGTGCTGTCCAGGTCTGTAGTTGCATGTTCTTCTACAAAAGCCTTGGGGAAAATGCCAACCTTCCCTTTGCACTCCCCTTCCAGCCATTCTTCATTCACTGATAAAAGAAAAAGTAGACATTGATTTCTAAAACCAGTATGGGAAAGTCACCTCATCTCTGGGTGTTCCACGCGGGTCTCGTCAGTGTCCACCCCGATCGTGCCACCAGAAAAGTCAGTACTGGAAAGTGAGTTCGGGTAAGAGTGGACATAGGACTCGCTGCCTTATTATTAGTGTCTGCCTTAGACATGATAACGAAGGAATAAAATGCAGAATGAATTAGGTTTTTCAAAAAGAAGATGAAAGAAATTGAACAATGAATCTTTAGGTAGGATTTTTTAACAGAGTGATTCGAGCTTCGTGGGAACCTTTGGTTTGACTAAGAGACGTCATTGGTTAAACATTGCTAATGAATGTTCACTAGAGGAAGATCAAAGAATTGAGGATTGGAGCTAGTGATGGGTTCAGTCCATATTTGTAAAACAAGTATTTTAATAGCTCCCATTTTGAGCCTCAAGTAAAGTACAGGCACTGTGCTAGGATATATACACACTCAGACTTCCTGATAACTCGATTGTAGATAATATCACCATTTTAATAAGGAAAAAGCCAGAGGGATTAATAGCTTGTTTCAGTTCGTTCTGCCAATAAATATCAGACAGCTTAGGCATGATTCTTGTCCCCCTCATTTCTTAGGATTTTCTGTTGTCATCGATAATGGTTTTTTACTCCTTTGCATTAGCAACGCACAGCATTTCAGCTGTGTGAACAAAGCTGTTGGTGGGACTTGTTTGTTTCCAGATAGAGGAGTAAGACTAAGTCAAACCATGAGTTAGAACAGCGCTTCTCAGTGTAGTGAGTAGACCAGAATAACCGGGAGCCTGTTAGAAATACGAATTTGTGGGTCCCGTCCCAGACTTGACGTCCCTGGAAGCTGGGCCAAGGAATTTTGTTTAACAAACTCCAAAGGCTGCCTCGGCGTACTGTAGTTTAAGAAGCACTAAGAACTCTCCACTGTCTGTTTCTATTTTTAATGTTTGATTCCTAATCAGGAAGAATCAGGAAGGTCACCGGAGACACAGGGCAATTCTGAATAGCTACTTTTAAGACAATTTACTCACTCTACCCACATCTTCAAAAAGTACATATATCCAAAGAAGAGTGGTTTGCAGAAGCAAGTATTATGGCTCGGTGCAAAGGCAAAATGATTCCAGCCAACTTCCAATCCGCTTGCTCTGCGAATGAGAATCCGTGGCTTCTGAAACTTAGCCATCTTTACATGTGAATGTACTGAAATGTTATCTTCTCTGCCCATTAGAGCAATAGATAGGCTGAGCTCTCTGTTTTGATCCCTCTGGCTGAAAGCTGGACAGGAGATTAAAACCACGGGCTAAAATTTGTTTTGGAGGTTGGTGGTTTTCTTCCCTCTGCCCTTGAATTTATTTCCGCTAACATACAAATTAGTTTCTGTAATCCAAGAGTAGCACTGACCCATCGATAGAACCTGGATCACGTCCCCTTCCAGAAACTCCAGGTCTTCCGGTTGGGTCGCCTCATAACTGAAGAGTGCTACCACTTTGCTCCCTTCTTTCAGCTGAGGTTCTGTCGTCTGGCCGTTAGCATCAGGGTTTTCACTTTCCTTGGGTTCATCTGGAAAGCCTTGGTCACCCTGGAATAATAAAGGGCCTGTTAGTTTCCTGAACTTCCTGGCCACTGGACGGCAAACATCATCACTAAAGAAATCGGTCTGACGATGTCAGTGCAGCACCTGGGACATAAACTCATAAAGGCCAGTTTGTGCTCAGTGCCCAGCAGAGACCTAATGTACTTTATGAATACTGGATGGTTGGATAAATGAAACAAAAGGTCTGCAGGATCGAATACAGCCTTAAAATCTTACTGAAACTTTACAGTAATCCTGAAAAGGGCAGAATAGGTACTACTGTTACTTCAGATGAAGAAACAGGTTGAATCACAAGTAAGTGACAAGAGCAAAGGCAAACCTGGGAGTCCAACACCCTTTCCCCAGCACCCACAATGCTCGGGACCTTATTAGAAATGCACATTTTCAGCTCCGTTCCAAACCTATTAAAACAGAAGCCCCGTGGGCAGGGCCCGGCAATCCATCTCAACAAGTCCTGTAGGTGATTCTGGTACTTGTTAAAGTGCGAACCACCGCACAGGCCGCAAAAAAAAGTTTTACTTTTCTTGTATATGTAACTGTATATTTTAATCACCATATGGTCATTTTTGACCCACAAATGAAGAAGGACGCAGTTTTTAGAGATGTGAATCATAGGATTCAAGAAATCAACACGAGAAACCCTGGGAGGCTGCATGCTGTTCTGTGTTAAAAGTTCTCGTTTCCTGGCGCCGCCCACTCCAACCTGGGCAGATTCTCTTCATTCAAAGGCAGAACGGCAAGGCGGACATGGCCCCGTGGAGGCCAAAGACCTAGGTTCATGTCCCAGTTCCACTGTTTACCAGCAGTGGAACCTCTGAGCCTCAGTTTCCTCACCAAACTTGAAGTTAGAAGAAAAATGAATGCCTGACGAGTACTGAGCTGTTGAGGAAGGGGCCCCAGGGGCCATGGCCGTAGCCCTGGGCTCAGGGCACTTACCACTGTGTTCTCACACCACAGAGTCAGGCAGTAGTTTTTCACCTGGCCCCAGGCAGCCTTCATGCTTTCTTCCGAAAGGGGCAGCAGCTCATTGCTGTCCCGAGGCCGGTAGCTGGGGAGAGATGATGAGAAAGAACCAAGTCAGAGAACACTAGTGCCGAACCACCACCCTCTTCCGTCCTCCGGGCGAGTGCCAGGTCCCCAGCTGGAACCCTAACTGCTACTTGCATGGAGCTCACCTCAGCTTAGTGTGTTGTGGCAGGAGCTCCAGTTTCTTGGACACCATGTCCCGGACCTGGCTGTAGGGCAGTCCGGGCTGCGTCTCCATGACCACTGTGTACTTGTAGTGCACCTTGAGTGTGTAGGGCATGGGGACACTGAGCCTGACTTCCTGAGGGGAGAGGAAGCAAAGGGGACTCATGAGTGTCTGGGGCTTCCTCTTAGCAACCTCCTGGACCACCACAGCCTACTGAGGGCACAGGGAGAGGCCAGCAACGTGACGGGCCTTCGGGGGTCCTCTAGCCCACGTCTTGCTTAGATAGGAATTCCCACTGAGCGAGATCTGGCCCATCAGCTATGGGCCAGTTGGAACTGTGTGTATGGAGGCGAGGGTCGGGGGGAGCTGTCGAGGGGCTTCCTAGCCCACAGACTGTGTGTATGGTGGCAACTGGTCTGCCCTGTCTTTGGGACGATTTCTGTAATCCATGGTGGATGGCCCAAGCTCTTCATCCTCTACCACTTGGAATAGTACAAGGCAAAAATGTTACCTTGGGTTTTTCTTTTTCTTTCTGACCTAAATGGAGAAGGCAAGGAGTAAAAAGAGAAGATGAATGAACATTTTTGGCCAGCCCCTGCCATACACAGAATGAAACTTCTCAGAGCACCCAAGTGCATACCCGTTCATCTCAGGGGTGATTATTAACCTTAGTAAATGTGGGAGGAACCTCACTCCGGGGAAATGTGCAGAGCAAAGCCATGAATGCACAAAGGAACACAGTCTCTGCTTCTAGGGAGTGTATGAGTATCAAAGGACCATCACCTCCTCACCAACCCGTCTCGCAGGTGAGTTAAATCAGAGGACTCCAAAGCAAAGAAAAATAAGGAATGCAAAGAAAAACAAGGAATGCGAGATGACCCAGGGGCCACGAGAAGAAATGTTGGAACCAGTTATGTTTACCTCGTTCTTTATTTTTGTGTATGTTTTCTAATGTGCATAATATATTAATATGGCATATAATTTCTATGAGATAAGTATGCATAAAGATAGTCACTCTAGGGGGTTCATGACCAAAAAGGACACTGATCTCAAACCCAGTTTGATCATTAGCATTACTTGGGAAGTTTTTTCTAGAAATACAAATTCCTAAGCCCAATTCCATCCCTAAAAAATCAGAATCTAAGGCCTAGGAATGTATATTCTTAAAATCTTCTAGGTTAATATGTGATCCTTGATGGGCTCCTAGACATTGAAAAACACAAACAAGTTATCAAGGAGGTTTGGGGGGTAACAGAGAACAGATCTGGATATGGAATCTACATTCTGTAACATAACCTTAGTGTTAAATGTCTGGGTAGAGCAATCGTATGGGGTTATGCAGAAGAATGTCCTTGTTCTTAGGGAATGTGGGCTGAAGTGTAGGGTGAAGTGCTGTGACTCCGTAACTCAAGTGGCCCAACCACTTGAAAAAAAAATTATAGAGAGAGAAAGGAGCAGGGCGAATACATGGTGCAAAATGTTAACAATTAGGTAAAAGGTATTCTGGCGTACTTTCAACTTTTCTGTGGGTTTGACATTATTCAAAGTAAAAATTGGCGTAGGGATCATCCCAAGTAATTCTAATGATCTGGTGGGTGTGATGATCATTGATCCAGAATCTGGACAGTCCACCTGCTCATTGCATCTCTACCAGACACTCATTCAGAATCTGCTTAAGCTGCATCAGTGACAAAAAGCCCACGGCTTCCCTCTGCACATACAGGAGAGTCTCCTCAGACCTTTGAAGAGCCACGTCACCCCCTCTGAGGGACATGTGCAATTACTTCAACCGTTCCTCTTGGGGCAAGGATTCAGCATTAATGACTGAGGGGTTTGGTGACTACTTGAGTTGGGACACTCTCTGTCCCCCCAGAAAGTAGCTACATTTACCCCATGAGCGTTCTGGAGCAGGTAGGGAGAGGGACATCTATTTCCTGTGTTCTGAGTGGGTGGGTGGTGCAGGAGAGGGGGCCCTGGGGCTGCGTGGTCACAAGCTGAGAGGAGAGGAATCTAGAGTTTCCTGGAAGGCCGGGAGAGATCCCTAAGATGTTGCTCCAGGGACACTAACCTGGTGACAACTGGGGTTTTCCAGGAGCACTGGAACTGGGAGGAGCTGGGACATCAGACACCAGGGAGGACTCCTCCTGGAGGTGACAGAAGGAGATAGGAAGAACCTTCATTCAGACAAAGTTCTTGACAAGAGTAGGAGTGGGGGAAGGAGGAGACGCTGCAGACCACCGTGGAACGGAGCCAGAGACAAACGACCTCCTACAAGTTAGAGAGGTGGTGACCTTCAGGGGAGACCAAGGAAAGTGCAGGTTAAACGGGGAGGCGGGTTGGCCCGGTGAAGACCAACCGCAGCAGAAATAAGAATTCTAACGCCACCTAAAAGGGCCCCGCTGTCAAGTCGCCCCTCCTAGCTGCCTCGGAAATCTGGAGGCTGGAACGTCCTGAGCTCTCGGCTTAGCTCACTCTTTCAGTCCACACACATCGTGTTCCTTCAAAGGAAAAATTCCACCTCTTCGTGTGGCACTTAAAACTTTTAAGTCATCTGAATGTAGTGACTGACAAGGGAGGGCCAAACTCACAGAGGACAACTGGTTGCACCGACTCAAGAGAGACATGTTCCACTGCCATTAGCCATCTACACGGCTGCTCAGATCCAACAAAGCCCAGTCACCAGGCCTGCGCGGGGTGACAGAGGGGGTGGCAGCAGCTTCAGCAGCAGCGGCTGCCCTCCTCACTCAGTGCTATTAAGCAGGTCTCCTTTTTTAATGGCATTTCTCCAGCCAACACACTGGCCACTCTTCCAGGTGAAGAGGACATTTGTGAAAAGACCTAACCTTCCTATGTTCTAGGCTTTGGGTCTCAGGCCACCTTTGACCAGGAGGAGTCACAGAGGTGGGTGATCCCAAGAGGCCTAGCAGATACCTTTTGCTCAGCACTTCTTGGTTTTTTCCCTCAGCCCCAGGTTCAGCTCTAGGCGGCTGGTGCCGGCTCGAGGCAGGCTTAGGACCAGTGAGTCTTCAGTGATTGTGACAGCACCTTTTTCCACGGAGAGGTTCCTGGGTGGTTGAGGGGTGGGGGGTGGGTCAGGCCTTGGCCTCACAGTACCTGGGGCTGCTGCTGAGGATGGATCCGTAGCTCCACGGGTTCAAGGTAGTTGCATGGCACGAGCCCCTTCTGCAGTGCAAGGTCACAGATCAGAAAGGGGACATAAAGATGGCTCTGGTCAGTGCCCACACCGCAGACCAGCCCAGAGACGTGACGGGGTGGGGCACAGACGGAAGAAGCTAGCAGATACCGCCCCTCAGAAAGCTCTGCCACCCGCTGCCAGGATCTTGTGCCCGAAAAGCATCCGCTAGTCCCCTGAATACCTGCCCGTTGAACATGACCGTGGCCCAGTTGTCAGTGCCCTTCTTCAAGACAAAGACGATGTTCCCTGGCATGACCTGGAGCTCCTCTGGCGTCTCAGGCACAAACCCGAACAGCACGCGGTGAGCCTCCCCTTCCAGGGCCCTGCAGGGGTTAAACACGAGGTCCCATCCGTCGTCGACGGGGTCTGCACCCCCTCCCCTGCGCTATGGGATGGGAGTGATGGACTTGGAGCCGGGAGCCGCGCTCCAGACACCCTCCCACTCCACGTTTAATTGCCCGTGGGACCCTGAGCAGGGGGCCCGGCCTCCTCGGGCTGCCTGAAGGACGACGTGGGAAACAGCGCGCGCAGGTGCTTCACGCCGCATACGCAGTGGGACAGGAATAAAAGAAACGCCACAGCACTGGACGGCGCGGCCTTGCGGGCCTTGCCTCCCTTCCCGCCTGAGGGGGGAGGCTCGTGGGTACGCTCGGTCAGCGCCCCCATCTGGGCCGGGTGGGTCTGTGCGGCGGGGGACGGGCCCCTGGGTGGGGAAGGCAAGTTGGGGAGGGGGGAGGAGAAATCGTGAGAGCCCGCGTGGGGCCCGGCAGGTGCGCGGAGGGGAGGGGGCGCGCTGGGAGGATGAGCTTCCAGGAGGAGGGCGACCTGCACTGACGTCCCCAGGCTGCCTGCTCTGACTTACGTGATGCCATTTCCCCCTGACCGGTGCCTCAAGACCTACGTTGCGCTTGGGGATACAGACTCCTCCAGCAGACAGAGTTTAGGAATGAGCTAATCCAATGCTCACTCACTCCTTTGCTTTGGTACTTTTTTCACTTTTTTTTAAAAAAAAAAACAAACCTTTATTGGGTGGGGGAGCTAGGCTTACTTCCTTACTTAGACACAATGCTTAAGAAAGCTGTAAGTTCCGTCATTCTCTGCTTTTCTTACAGAAGGATGAGTTCTTTTCCTCGAGTCCTTCCTCTTCTTTAGAAACTATGTGCCGATAGGGATTGGACAGCAAACACGCAGGAAAGGCCGGGCCATCCTGGCTTCCCACTCTGCTCCATGACTGCAGACAGCAGGCCCTTCCCAGCCTGGGGGCTCTCCCGCCCCCTCAGGGGAGGCAGCTTGCTCCTTGGGACACTGCCGCAGTCCAGCAACAACCCCTCACCCTATGGTGGCTGTGCTTGTTGCCACGGGGACACAAGGACACCATGTAGCTGTAGCCAAGCCCCCATGGTCAGTCCCACCAGAGATGGGACTTCCATCTCCACTATGTCCCTCCATTCTAACCTTGAAATAGAAGAAGCCAATGAACTAGGCTCAATTCCACGAGGTTTGGACTCTCGCCCCAGCCTCATCTTCTCTATTCCCCTCTATGGGCATCAGTTCAGGCTTGGGCATTGTGCATATTGATCTATATCTATCTTACCTGAAGATCTCTGGAGTTTTGGGCCGGGGTGGAGGCTCAGCTGCCTATTAGACATTCAAGAGAAATGAAGGAGGACAGGACAGTAAAGAAAGGAGGGGGAGAGAGAAGAGACTGTTAGCGGTAATTCGAGCCTCCTTCCAGACCAGAAAATCAAAGAAGGCACTTCCAGGGCCATCAGAACAGGTTCTAGGGAGAGGGCACAGCGTGCCCGAACTGAACGCTGGAATGTGGCACCTCCCACCCGCTCCCCGGGCACGAGCTTCACCAGTGCAGCAATTCGTCTGCAGCCAGACCTGGTTTCTGGAGAAGCGTAGCTGTCACAGAGCAACGTGGTGCCACGAGGATGCTTTTGACCTTGAGCTCTGGCCCTTTCTTAGGACAGTTTTCAAAAGCTCTGCTCCGTAATAGATGTCTGCTATGTCGCATGGGGCTATTTAAAAATCAACTCCAGAGTCACTGACCAGGCAAGACCTTTCCCCGATCTACACCGACTGCAATGGAGTCCAGGTGGCGGGGCTTCTTCCCACTCCCGGAGTCCTCCGGCTGCTCTGAAGCCCAGGGGACTCTACAGGGCTTTCCCCCATGTCGTGTGAGAAGGGGGTCACAGACGCTGGAGCCTCCCTCTGGCCTCCTCTGTGCATCTCATCCTCCAGAGCCCCAGCGTCGGCCACACTCTGGGCCAGTGGTCACCATTCCGAGCCTGGGCAGAATGTCAGCGCTGCTCCCAGGACTGACCAGGCGGGTGCCGACTGGAGTGTAGACGCCACACTCAGAGACCCCGCCCCCTGCTAGGGCCACCAGTGCCCTGGCCCATATCCATTCTCTTGTAACAAATCGCCTTAGCCTGTCTTGCCCTCTCCCCTTCACAAAGGAGCTCCGTCATCCAGCCCACCTGGAACCCTGTCTCTGAGCCCAGCTCGAGTGGAAAAAGGGTTCTCTGTGGGCACCCTGCCTGTGTTCCCGAGAGATCCCCTGCACACTGGCAGGTGGATGCAGCCAGGAGTGCTCACAGCACCAGGCCCTGGTCCCCACAGGAGTCCCCTACTGGCCCCTGAGTCGGGAAGAGGTATTGTTCAAAGGTCTTCGATAGCTTGTGTTTCGATTTTCTGAGAGAATAATTGAGGCTTCGGGAGAGATCTCTTGGGACTTAGAGAACTGAAGACTGGAATTCTGGGGGAGGCAGGTGGGTTAATTGCTGCGGACTTGAGGTTTAGCCTAAAACTGCCTGATTCCTCCACCTGTCATGGAGCCTATGACGAGGAGAGGCAGGCAGACACCCTCGGGCGTTGAGCGGTCAGCGTTAGGAGCCCTTAAAATGAGGCAGCTCAGCAGAAATATTCTCCTCTGTTGGATGTTTCATGGAGAGTTCTGAAGACCGAGATCCACGAGAAGGAAGGGCCACCTCACCTGTGGCTGCAGAGGAGCGAATCCCGAGAAGCTGTCTTGATCCACCACAGATGCCACCACCTGAAATAGAGGAAGGGGGGTGTGAGGGCTCTGCCAGCACTGGTCCCCCATCCTTCTGTGGTTTTCCTAGGGTTCCCTCCTTTCTCCCACCCCGGATGCATTGTCACTGGTGCCTGGTTCCAGAAGGGAACAGTGGCTAAGGACTGGACAGCTGAGCCTCTGGCTTAGACGTCCAGCAGCTGAAGAAGCTAGAACCCGCCCCGCCCGCACTAACCCAGCAGGCTCGCTCTCTGTCCTTTTTTCTTTTCCGAATTATTTTATTGGGGTGAAATTCGCATAATACAACATTAAGCATTTAAAAGTGAACAACGCAGTGGCCTTCGGCACATTCATAATGCTGCTCAGCCACCACCTCGGGACATTGTCACCAACCCCCAAAGAAACGCCACACCCGTCACACAGTTACTCCACATTCCCCCCTCCTCCGCCAATTTGCTTCCAATTCTTGTGCATTTACCTGTCCAATTCCTGTGCATTTACCTGTTCTAGATACTTCACATAAATGGGACTCTGGCTTTTGTGTCTGGCTTCCTTCACACAGCGTGCGTAATGTTTTCAAGGTTTGTCCATGTTATAACTCGCACTGGTACTGAATTCCTTTTCCCCATGGCACGGCTATCTCACGTTTTGTTTATCCATTTACCCGCTGATGGACATCGATTGGGATGTTCCCACTAACCCAGGCTCTCCACTGTGCCAGAACCCACCGACCCGTCTGTGGGCAACTTAAGCCTATGAATGTGTCGAAGTCAAGTGCAGTTTTGGAAGGGGCCTGTCGGCTCACTTGGGATCATTTCTGAAAGGATTTAGGACCCGAATTCAGAAGGAGTCCAGTTTAAGGAGGCTAAGCACAGGGCTGTGGAGGTGGGGCTACCAGGGGCGTTAAGCCAAGAGGACGCTGCGCTGGTCTGTTTGCCTAACACGTTCTCTCCACATTTAGTGAGCACCTCATAGCTGCGTTTTCTTTCCACTGGCTCAGCCCCCAGGACTCAGCATCCTGTGAGCAAGCCTGTGGCCCTCACCCAAGCAGGAAGGGAGAAATGAGAGGAACCTGGAGAAAATACACGGGAAGCATCTGCCCATCTTTCGTCGAGACCCCCACACTCTCGCCGCCAACCCAAGGCAGAACGACAAGGTGGGGTGCCCTTTTCCCAAGGGTTCCTTCCCCGCCATAGGACTCTGGGGAAGATGAGGGAGCCCACCTACCGTAGCCTTGCCCAAGTAGTCCTTCTTGACCAGCTGGGCCACTTGCCTCTCATTTGGTCGAAACAGCCTGCCCACGGGGATCACCACTGGCTCATACAGCTTCTGTTTCTATAACACGGAGAGCACAGTATTCCCTTACCTGTTCAATGGGGCTTCGAGGCTTGTCCTGCCTCCCTCACTGAACGGATGCAAAGATCCCTTGCGATAACCTCACAAAAGCACTTTTTATGAATGTGTGTCAGGACCGAACTTGCCATTATTTCAGGGTGTCTAAGGTGGGAACAGCTGGTTTCAGTATCACCTTACACTGACAGGCTGTGTGGACATCTGTTGGTGTTATTTGCCTAGCATCCTCTTTTCCCAGGGGAGCTGCCCCCTCCCGCTCTGTGTGGCTCGGGTGGGGCTGTCACGGCATAGGAGGCACCGCAACCCAAGGGTGGTCCAGGACCCCACCAAGGCCCATACAGTGCTCTCCTGGGACCCGTGTCCACTGACGTTGGCAGCTATGTCAAGGCTGACTTGTGCCCCTTTGTTCCTGGTGTTTTAAAAATCTGATTTAAAACTAACTTCATCTCACATGTGCTCTAACTATGGATAATTTTCACCATTCGTTCACATAATCGATGCATTTTTGTGAGAGCCGTCACAAAGATAGACTCAACAGTGAGCAAGGACTCAGTGGTGAGCAAGCAGGAACAGCCTCCGCCCTCCTGTGCTTGGCTCCAGTCCCCAGCCTCCTGCCCCTCATGTGCTGCCACAGAGCCCCACTTGGGGGGTTTGGGGGGTGATGAGGCCAGGCTCTGCTCTCCCATGCTCTAGGCTGCAGCTTACAGCAGCACCTCCAGATTTAAGATGCTGTGTGGAACTAGCCCCCCAGACCAGTGTTACCTAGAGTTCAGAGAAGGTAAAAGCACCACTTTAATGATTTCTTAATTCACACGTCCACTGAAACAAATGAAAATCTGAATACATCCTCCACCGCCCCGTATCACCGATATGCTTACCCAAACGCATTCCATGGCTTTGTCGATCTTGGAATGTCTCGGCTCAGACTTCATGCTCATAGCCAACGCTAAATGTTCTTCCGCCTTTTTCCATTCCTCCTTCTTGGCGTGCATGAGAGCAATATTATATAACACCTAGAAAAGCACAGGCCACACCATGAAACTAGAGGCTGCTCCAAATCAAGGCACCAGAGAAGAGCTTGCATGATGCTCCTGGAATGCTGCCTGGTGACGTTTCTCCCTTTCCCAGCTCTCCTGGGAATATCTAAAATATGATACGATTAATCTTGCTACCAAGTTAGGTCCAGCACAAGCACAGCATTAGGCGAGCACCATGTAATCCATAAATCCAAAATTGTGTGCATCCTTTCGACAACCAAGTAGGCTGGGAGGGAACAGGAACTACTGTGTTGCTTTAGTATCAAGAAGAGTGACACACTCAAGACCCCACTGAAAAGCTGGGAATAAAATACACGCGAGCGGCCTCCCACACCAACTCCTGTCATGAGCCTCTCTGTCGAAAGACTCATGGGTGGGGAGAGAGGGTGCCAGGTGCATCATCCTGCACCGGCACCGACAGAACCCTGCCCAGAACACGGAGGTAACAAAACTGTGAGACAGTCATACGGGCACGAGGAAGCCGGGAGGGCAGAGGTCTGCTGGAGCTGGAAAGAGACTCAACACAAACCCGGGGCAGCGCCTCCCTCTGGAGCAGGAGGGAACAGCACATGCACCAACAGCCATAATTTTCCAAGTCTTGAGCTGCGTGGTAGGTTCATGAGTGTTTGTTTTATTATTATGCTTCACAACTTACATATAGAATCAAATCTTTTGGATGCATTGGCAAGATTAAAAACAAAAACAAAAAACAAAACAACTAGACTCCCTTCCCAGGCTATTTCTGAGCCTCGGTGAGCTGTTGCCTTTTGCATACAAGCTTGGCTGGCCGAGCCCATCCCTGACTATATGTGCAGAACGAAAGAATTCAAAGCCTTTTAAAACTTGCTATTCAGTTCTAAGCCACCTTCCTTTAAGACCTTTCTACGCCGGGTTTTGATGACTCTATGACTGGCGAAGCCTGAGCCTCTCTTCGAAAAGGATGGTGTAATTTCTCAGAGCCAGGGTTGTACCCTGCTGGGAAGGGAGGAGTGGCATTATAAGCATGGAAATGACCGGAGGGTCCCATGTAGCAAATGCCTTAGACTCTGAAAAGTCTACTTCACTTGCAGAGAGGCCCACAAGGCCAGTATTTCCTGCCCCTGGGTCATTTCAGCTCCAACTGCAGAGGGGACATTCCTGCATGAATTCTGCTTCGATGACACTGTTTTATGACCCCTTCTCTAGAGTTACTTGGTCCCCCAACCCTTTAATCTATATAAGTGGTTCTCAGTGAGTGGCCATTTCTAGAGATATTTTAGGCTGTCACACGGGGGTGGGGCGCTACTGGCATCTAGTGAGTAGAGGTCAGAGATGCTGCTCAACATCCTTCGATGCACAAGACAGTCCCCTATGACAAAGAGTTACTTGGTCCAATACATCAAAAATGCCATGAGTGAGACAAACGACTCTAGAAGCCGGCCAAATGCGAACCAGTTCCCACCACAATGCCTCATTCCCCTGGACTGGGAGAAGTAAAATAAATTGCTGGCCCACTGCTGGGCTGGATGGGGACACGCGTTCCCAGGGGCCTGGGTAGCTGAGGACTCTATTATTAGTCTTGGGTGACCCTGGGAACACTTGGCTTCTCTTGCCTGAGAAACTAAAGCAGGGGGACTTTTTTTCAGTGATTCTTCTAAATAAAGATCTTTGATATTTGCAGGGATTTTTGTTTTTAAAGTGACTGGGGTGTTTGAGGTGTAGGAGGGGAGTGGGGAGGGTTGTTTGGAAAAACTACGCAAATCTGTGACATCAAAGCCAATCATGGTTCTCCCTTTTGGTAATACAGAAAATAAGTCATCCTTCTATGGAAACCTTTCTCAGATTTGTGCTTTGAGCTGTTCTTTGAGCAAGAGGGGACAGATTTGTGCCAAATTATCCTCATTCTCTCTTTGAGTATGAACCAAGTACATGAAGCCAGAATCGTTAATGAGAAAGGTCCGTATTTGGGGCCCTGAGCGTGGTGACGGCAGGTCCTGCCTGGAAAGCAAAGTCGTGACTTTGGGTTTGTTAGACCGACGCTGGGCAAAGAGCCCGTCCACCTGAATGATGCGATTATCGATTATCGGGAATACTCGCACAGGGCGATGCCCCCGCGTGCAGGCGGGGCCCTTCCTCCTTACCTCACAGGAGAACAGCTTGAACTGCAGCCCCAGAATCTTGTAGTCTATCAGCTGGTTCCCGCGAAGCTGAGTCAAGGCCTCTTTAAGGTCTTTAATAGCTGAATCATATCTGGAGGACAGAGGAAGGAAATAAACTGGTCCAGGAAACAGAGGAAAAACTGCGGAATAAAATGAGTGACTGCGCCCCTTTCCCCACAGGCTGCGCTGGGGCGAGAAGGCTTCCGACGCCTTCGGACCTGCTCCAGTTTTCACCAGCCCTGAGCCCCGGTTTTCTACAGAACTCAGTGCGTCAGATGCCCCCCGCCCCTGGGTGTCCCCCAGTCTCAGGCAATTGCAGGCATTTTCTTCTCCGTTGGCTGCATACAACGCCCACCTTTCTGACAAACCTCTCGGCACTTTGCAAATGAGCCCTCCCTCTGTCCTGGGAGCTCCGGGCCCAGCCAGCACCTGCCAGGCCCTGTGCTCACTCCTTGCTCCCAGCACAAGGCCAGTGAGCCTGACACGGCAACACACGGCTGACAGAGCTCAGCTCAGAGGGGTTTTACTCACAGCCACTGACCTCCCCCCAACAGCCACTGACCGTCCCCATGCCCCAGCCTTCTCCTTTGCTTCTTGACTTAGTTCTTTGTGTTGTGGCCGGCTCAGCTTCCTCTCCCCTCCCTCCTCCTCCACATGCTTTGGAAAAAAGAAACCACCACTGAAGCCGAGTCCCGTTTCTAGCACAGCTCCGGGCACCCCCCGCCTTGGGTTTTCTGGGGCTGGCCTTGCGCTGACTGGCTCGAGGGCTATCAGGGCTGCTGTCGCTGGATTTGCAGCGGAGCATGGGGCTGGTCACATCCATGAGCGCCCACGGGGGTGTGGGCAGGACCTGGACCACCTCTCCTTGGCTTGCCCTTGACCTCTGCAGAGGCCCTGGTGGAAGGGAGCCATTACTGGGCAGCAGGGTAGGGTGCAGAGGTGGGGTGAGGACAACAAAAACAATCCACCCCCACCCCCGTCGGCCTCCTGGCCTGGCAGGAACGAATTTGCCTGCTGGTCGTGGCTCCCACAGAGCAACTGAACTGCAAGTCCCCAGACCACTGTCTGACCCAGAGCTGCCATGTGGAATTTGGACTCAGGCTGGTGGGGACCCCCAGGAGGTGGTAGGGTAGAGTGACGGTACCCTAGGACAGGGGCCAGGAGACTGGGACCAGATCCACCAGCCCTGTCACTAACTGGGAGACTCTGGCAAAGTATTTCCCTGGCCTCAGCTTCTGAGTCAATAATATAAGGGGCGTATTACGTACAAGGAGCACGTGATTTGAGGAGCTTGCTAGAACGTGGTCCCAGGTCTAATTTCTAGAGTCAAAACCACGTAGATTTGAGTCCTGGCTCTGCCACTTACTAGCTAGTGATGAAGGGCGAGTTATTTAATTTCTCTAAGTCTGAATTACAGGAGAACAATAGCAAGTGCTTCCCAGGGGTTTTGTGAGAACTAAAGGAGGCGAAACATTCAGGTGCATAGGACGGTTCCTGGTACACATAGTAATTTATGTTATTGTTATCATTATATTATTTTTTCAGCTCTAAAACTCTGGCAGTTAAATTCATACACCAGCCATTTATTACATGCTTACTTAACACTCTCTACTCTATTAAGTATTATCGGGAGATCAAAATCCACAGGTGTAGAAGCTGGAACTCTGATCTCCGGGGTGCTTAGAGCTGACCAGGAGGGCGGGTTGGCTGAGAGAGTCCTAAGGAATGTGTCCCCAGGGTGGCTGGGGGAGAAGCTAGACATTCTGTCACCACTGGGCTTGAAATTAGTCACACAGCAGCAGTGGCTGTATGACCATGGGAGAAGACAGCCTGGGCTTGAAATAGGAGGATGGCCTTTCTCTAACATGTGTTTGTTGTTAATAAATTGATTGTAAACCTATCAAAAGCATGCAGGCCATTCCTTAAGAAGCAGGAAGCATTTCAAGAACTTTACACATTCTTTCGAATATTCCCGTTCTTTCTTCCTAAGCTGGGGGATGGGCTCCAATTCACTGAGCCAAGAAGGAGGAGCTGCTGTCCTGTTCCACGGGCACGTGCAGTTCAGTGTCCCCCTGCCTGTGTGTGAGACAGCAGAAGGACACACACTTTAGGTGCTGTCGGCATTAACCTGGAATCGTGCCTTCCTCCCCGGCGAGCTAGGGAAGCAGACGAACTTCAGCTGTGAAGTGGTCTGCCTGTGTCACCTGGTATCGAATGACCCCAACAAAATCCCCAACAAAATCCTTCTCATAATTCTCCAGCCCATCACGATGTCTAAAGATTTGGGCCTAGTGGGAGGGAGACAGAAGAACTGACGAATTATTAAAAGTGGAATGAGAGTCCGCCTGCCACATGACAGTTTTTCAACATGTCTTTAAAAGCATCGCCCCGACCGCCCACTCAGGCCGCCCGTCAGCACCCCCACGCTTGTTCACTGGAGCTGCACCCCAGGGGCATCAGCTCTGACACAAAGCCCTGCTTCCTGCTGCAAAGGGTCTGAATCAGGTCAGTATGAAATTCTAAAATAGCAGGCAGCCCTGTGTGCTGGTGGGGGGTGTGGGGGCTGAGCAGTGGCAGCCCCACCCCACCCCTCCCTGCAGCCCTTCAGCTCTCTGCAATGTCACTTGGAATGCACAGGGTCCCCTAGGGGGCCAAGCCACTGGCAGCTTCCTGCAGGGCTCCAGAATGACACCCTGCCGAGCTCCTTGGCTGTGCAGGACTCGGAGCCACCCCCGACACAGGGGCTCCCCAGCACAGTGGCAAACCCACGGTGACCTTTCACAAGCTCTGAGCCTGAGAGGGCTTATAATCCTTATTTTCGTCATACTCCCTGTAAGGGTTTTTTAGTAACCGCTGACATTCCAGATTGTTCCTGTTCTACCCAGGCCCCATGCCACCTAAAGTCCAGGAAAATGGAGAGTTTCAGCAGCTGAACAAGGTCCAATGTCAAACACCTCTGTGACAGGGGCTGGAGGTCGTGCCCTTTCCGGTTTCAGGAAAAGGCTTTGCCGCGTGGTCTCCTTGAGCCAGCAGCATCCTAAGGGACTCGCCATTATTATCTGTCATTGCCCTGAGATTCCTTAGCCCCAGGATCTGAAATACAGTTAAGAGCTTCCTTCCCCTTTCAGATGACAGGCTGGGGGCAGACTGGCCAGACTGTCTGCCCATAGTTGTCCCAGAGACACCACCTGCCTTCTCAGAAATGTCCTCTTTGTCCTGTGAACTGTGTGACGGGAGCAACAAGACAGATGAAAGTGGGGAAACCGAGAGAAAAACATCCATAACATTATCGCCCTAAAACAAGTCCCATTGTAATCTGAAGGAATGCGTAACCCACTCAGTAAGAAGTAATTTTTCTTAAAGTTCCCCATGGCACTTATTTTAAAATACCTCGTATGGCACCTGCCCTGTTCTGCTTTGCATTATAGTTATTAGTTCCGGACCTGTTTTCTCCCTTTTAATAAATAAGTTCCTTAAAGCAGAGACTATATTTTTCTGGCTCTAGTTTAATTAAAATTCAATAAGCATTTAACTGCTATACTAGATACTGAAATGTAGGAGTGAATGAGTAAAGATGTCTTCTCTCAAAAGACTCACAGAGTACTGGTGGAGACAAATAAATACACAAGCCAATGTCTGTCACAGAGAACACAGATATTATAACAAAAGAGAGTGGCGGCTGCCCTCGTGGCTGCGAGTGAGTGGGGCAAACTCGCGGAGGATGAGGGAGCGGGTAGGCGCTGGCTGGACCACGCTGGAAACGGCAAGGGGATTCGGCCTTTACCCTATGGTAATGGGATCCAGTAGATGTTTTTAAGCGAGTCACATTTATTTTTTAAGGAGATCACTCTGGAATACGGGTGGAGAAGACAAGATTGGTGGCTGGGAAAGTAGTTGAGAAGTGATTGCAATAGTCCTGGTGAAAAATGAGGGTCTACGCCAGGGCAGTGCTGGCGCGGATGGAGAGGAATGGGTGAATTTAAGAGGTGTTCAAGAGGTCGTCTTGACAAAGGATAGGAAAAGAGACATTTGGATTGATCCCAGGTAGAGATTTAGTCGCCGGCTGCCCACACAGATGGAGGCCGACACTGTGGGAGAGGGTGGGATCCCTAAGGTTCACGTATAGACTTCCAGGGGACACTAGGCCCCCTGAAATGGCACATAAAACATGCTTGTGTGCGTGTGCGCGTGTGTATGTGTATGTGTGCGTGTGTGTGTGTGTGTGTGTGTGTGCGCGTGCGTGTTGCGGGGAGACAGCCCATACATTTTGCCATTTAACAACCACTGCTATTGTGACACAGGGGTCAAGAGCAGAAGCTTAGAGGGCAGACGCCGCCGCCTGTGGGCGGAGCTAAGGAAAAGGAGGCAAAGCGAGGTGAAGCTTGGTGCCTTATTTATATTATTTCCCCAAGAGGAAGCTGTTGAATTAAAGATACGGCTCGGTAGGTTTTTCTCTCAGAGTTAACTACTATCTATCGATTGCAGACGAACTGGATCCTGGGCCTCATTTCTAGCTCTTCCTAAGATCTTTCTGACTCACTCAAAACCCAGACCCTTCAGACTCAGGGACCCGTGGGCATTTCCATGTCGAAATCTCTTCTGGGACCTTCTCTCTTGCCAGTGTCTCTCCTCATTACAGACCGTTAGGGCTAATTAAAGGATGGCCTTAGAACCTATCTTTTAAGATAAAAGATCAGCTGGAGGATTTGTGCTCGGGCTTCCCTCGGTATTCTGTACATCTGGACAAGGGAAGGGGGAACGATGTAAAAAAGGGGACCGAGGTGTTAGACAGGCCTGGTGCCTACAAGGTAAACACCTGCGCACGTTCCCTCGATCCCAGGCTCTCTCTCCCCAGGTTGCCCCTGTGTGGTTTTTCTTTTGGGAAGATTTCACTCCCCTTGGATATGCAGGTAATTGTTCCTATCGACATCTTGGAAGTCCTCTGAGCTTCTTGTAGTTGCCCCTAGCAACAGCTGAGCACAGAGGCTTTACAGGTTCTGGTTTTGACCAAAACCTAAGATCAAAGCCATGCAAGGCTGCACAGGATCACAGCCCGGCCCCACTCCAGTGTCTGGACTTTCTGTGCCGCCTCCCCAGCCCTCCTGCCCCAGCACCGAGCCTCGCTTGCTACGTGCTCCTGCTCCTGCGTGCGTGCGCGCCCACCCACATCATGCTCTGACCATTTACTCTGGAAGCTCTTTATTAGCCCTAGAGTTTGTCCACACTAACGGAACAATCTCTACAAAGGTTTGCCACCCCCAAAACATTCTAAGTTGATGCTTAGAATATTTTTCCTTTGTTATTTGTATGCTCGTTTTGGCGGTATTTGGGGAAGGGGAGTAAAATTGAGATTAACTTTGATTTTCTATTTATTTATCTTTTTACTATTTTGTGTTCATTATAAATCCCCCCTCACCCCCCCAAAAAAATACAGAGTGGCTGATAGGAGAAAATGGAAATCCCTATAATTCACTACCTGGAGAGAACTGCTGACAATGTTTTCATTTATGGCCTTCCAGACTATTCTGTGAAACAAATGGGATTGTGCTATACATACTGTTTTGAAACCTGTGTTTTAAATTTAACATCTACTGTGGACTTTTTTCCATATTAATATATATGTTACTTCTTTATCTGAAATTAATGAATTCTTATACATATGCTGCAGGTTCATATTCTCACTTTGGGGGCTGAATATGTTTCATTAAATGGATTAAACCAGGTTCTGCTTTGGGAAACACATTCTGTGGGAATGAAGGAAAGTTTTGATGTGGTTTCACGATAATCCTCTTTGTGTGACAGCTCAGTACTTCACAGTAGTGGACCAACAGGGTCACTCCCTTGATGGTCAAAAATTTACGACTAGCCCCCGCTGGCTATGACCCATCAGGAATGCGGGTGGAGTGTCACGCTAGCTAAATACCAGGCCTGTGATGGTTACGTAGGCTCACTATGAACTGAGGCACAGCTGGTTTATAACTGGGTGGCAGGCCTGCCTTCCCTCCCCAGGAAGAGCTTCTGCTTCATGCTGATTTATTGCATAACTGCTCAGAGAAAGTCCAGTCATGTTTCCCACCAGAGGCCAGGAAGACACTTATCAAACGCCCAGTCCAGCAGCACTGAGACCCCCTCCCGATTTCTCTACGAACTTCCCCAGCTTATGCAACACGGGACCACTTACTTCTCCATCTGATAGTAGAGCATCCCTCGCTGGAAGTAAGCCACTGCTAAGTGCTTGTCTCGGTTGATGCTTCTGGAGAGGGCCTGCGGAGAGGAAGGGTCCATTTGTGGCTGAGGAGCCAGGCAGGGAGGAGGTGTGAGATGAGCCGGAGGGTGAGGCGAGAAGGGTCATGAGAATGACTGGTGTCCTGAAGGTGATAAGAGGCTTAGGGGTTAGATAGGCAGAGTCAGGATGCCCTGTGTTGTCACTTCCTGGTGACGTGACATGAGGCAAGTTACCTAATCTCCTTGAACCTTAGTTTGCCCCTCTGTAAAATGGGGATGTTAATATCTGCCTTTCAAGATTACTGACAGAATTAAACTAATAAAATTACTTAAATATGGAAATAACAATTAAAATGTTCCATACGGTATTATAGAGTATATAAATTTGTTCTATAAATACTACACAATTAAAATAATAACAAAGGAGAATGCATAGAAAATGCCAGGAGTAAGAACTCAAGCAGGAAACCAAAGCGAGGGAGAATGAGAAGGCCAGAAGCAGAAGAATGAGAGGAAGGGCGGGGTGAGCTCGCCCAGAGGATAGCGGGGGGCCTGTGCAGCGGGGAGCACAGCCCCTGCCGGCCGAGCTGCCCAGAAGAGCTGCTGGGCTCTGCCCCTCTCCTCCCCGACAATGTGCACTATGTCTCCAGCAGCCGTATTTGCTCAGCCCCCTGGCAGGCCTCTGAGAGGGGTGGGGGCCACCATCCTCCCTCCAGCCAGACGTGGGGGACCCTGGTGTCCCCTTGTCTGCTCGCTCTGGGCCTGAGATGGACTCGTCAGTCCGTGTGGGTGTTCTAAGGAGCTTCTCTCCTCCCTCTTGTTTGCTCACTGCTGGTCACAGTGAGGATGATTGTGGGAGGAACTGGTGCTACCTGGGCCGGGGAGTCGGTCATCTGTCCACACGGCCTTGCAAAGACTGGCAGTAAAAGGGAAAAATAAGAATGAACATTTACACCGCGGTGCCAAGCGATACGGCTCTTTAACAATCGGTGCCTCACTTAATCCTCAAGACCTTTAACCTTCAGGAAGTCTACACGGCTTGCTGAGGACCGAAGGTCCAGGGACAGGCGGAGCTGGGATTTGACACCGGATCTGGTTCCAAACTCCATACCCTTTCCAGCTAACCATGACCAACCCAGAAGGTGCTGACTGAATGCTCGACCCCATACTTGGGAACGCGTGAGAGAAAAAATGTTTGGAACGGATGCTAAGACACCGCTCACCGTGCCCCCAGCAGACATCATTCATCAGTCGCGGTCTGCTTTCCTTCTGCCAGCCTCAGAATGTTTAAAAGAGTGTCCCCACATAATTGATCAGAACTGTCACTTGAGATGAAACCTCTTTTCCTTAAGTTCCCCCTCTTGGTCTCTTGGGCAGACAAAGCTCACGCACATGAACATCTTGGAAAGCCAACAAGGTGCTTTATCATCAGGTGTGAAGCATGAGATAGAGACCCATAGACAGCAGGAGTTTATAGAAGGAAGCATAGCTAGGGGAGTTTTATGAAGGGTTTAAAGAAGTTAACAGATGGAGAAGAAAAGAGATCGTAACCCAAAGCTAGTGAGTGGTTCCCAGCTCTGCTGGCATCAGAACCATCTGGGGAGCGGTTAAGAAGTCTGTCCAGGCCCCTCCCCAGGCCAATTAAATCAGGACCTCTGGAGGAGGGGCCTGGGCAGCCTTTGTTCTTGCAGAGCTCCTGAGTGGTTTCTGAAGTGCCGCCAGGGATGGGAACCTCTAATTCCAGAGGCAGGAGGCTGCCCCGGGGAGAGAGGTGCCTCCACTCACCTTCTCTGCCTCCACTCACCTTCTCTGCCTCCGGCATGCTCCCCAGGATGGTATGCATGCAGCCCATGTTGAAACAAATCCTGGAGTGGGGGTCCTGCACTGCGGCGAAAGCATCCAGGGCTCCCTTCCAGTCCTTCTTGTCAGCGGCCAGAACCCCTTCATTCCAGAGGCTGATGGCCTCAGCCAGGGACATGGTCAAGTGGAAACCAGGAAGCCCGGAGTCGGGGAGGGAGTGAGCGGGGCTCTCCCCCAGCAGAGCAGCCCCAGGCCTCGCCTTCCTGGCCTGGTGCTCAGAATGGGGTCCAGCTTCCCTTAAGACGACTTAACCAGTGTTGCAAAGGCGTCAGGAAATGTCCCCACCTTTTGGCACAACTGACACAAATAACCCTACGATGAAAAAAAAAAAAAAAAGGAAAATGAGGAGGCGAGAGGGGCGGAGTTGGAGGAGAGAGGAAGTGCATCAGATACGGCCTGCGACGGATCAGTTCCCCAAAATGCTTCTGCTCTGTCACCCGGCTTGTCCCCTCTGTCTTCCACCCACCCCTACCCCCATCAGTTCTGCCGCTTCAGGTCAGGGTGCTGCCCCCAGGCTGCCCCCAGGCTCGGGGCAACCTCAGTGGGTCAATGGGCCTCAATTTCCACACTCTTGTTAAGTGAGGGTGTTGGATGAGGGTAGTTATTTTCAGTCTGACATGAATTCCTTGGTCGCTTTCTCAATGATTTTGTAGACCTTCTTGAAATATTTGATTTTTGTCTTGAGCTAAAATCAGCAATTGGCACATTTCTGAGGCAGGGTGGTCTAGGGTGTCCATTTGGGTATGAGATAATTTTTATGAATACCTAGAAAGCTCAGAGGGGACCAATTTCCTGCAAATGCTAAAATTAGGAGCCCAAATTTGACAGTGAATTGTAACTTCTCCCATCCTTGTGTGAAAAATTGAAGAGACAAGGGGTCTCATTGATGACTAACACATTTACCAGTCTCTCAAAAGACAGATTTAAGATTCCTTTCCTCGCTGCCCTGGAAGAATTAAAATCAATGAAACTTCTCTGAAGAATAATTATGAGTAGAGGGTATAACCAATTTGACTTACTAAAATCCGGACTTCTTGTTAATATTAGATAAAATGCATGTTTATGAGGGTCAAATACTTAGATGCCAATTCTTATTCTGTAGCAACCGAAGGAACTCATCAATTATCACCACATTTCTAAGATCCCAAAAATAAAACATAAAATTGTACTTATAGAGCTTGTAGGCTTGAAGGCGTGAGAATTGAGAAGATGTGCGTGTCTTTGCATGGACCATTTCCTGTGTTTGGAAGGGCTTCCCATCTCACTTCTTTGCCTGGCAAACTCCTACTCATCCCTGAAGGCCCAGTTAAAGAATATCACCACCTTTCTGAATGTAGTGCCACCTCCACGTAGTAGAGAGGATCTCCCCCTCCTTTGTACCGCCTCCTAAACACTTAATTATTTATTTGTTTAATTTATCTCTTCATCTGTTCATCTCTTAGACCCCTTGAGAGCTGGGCCCAGGCCTATTCCTTCTAGAATCTCCAGCACCAATACTCAGTAAACAATGGAGGGACATATTTCAGAAACAAGTTAGAAATCATTGGCAAGTGACCTGCAGGTAGCAGCGATGCCAGGAAGAGATATTGCTAGTCCCTCCAGTGAATAAATTATCAAAACCCAGTTAGCATATTGATTATTTCTAGGAAACCTAAGTGGTTTTGTAGCTAAGCGAGACTTTAAACTTTTTTTGCCCCGTTTTTACTTTTTTATTCTAGCCTGCCACGCAGAACTCTCTCTCCTTAAGCTGACACCTGTTATTTTCAGGTGTACAGCATAGTGGCTAGATATTTATATAATTTACAAAGTAATCCCCTCAATTAGTCTAGTACCCGAGCATAATGGTTAGATATTTATATAATTTACAAAATAATCCCCTCAATTAGTCTAGTACCCACCTGGCACGACACATAGCTATTACCACCTTATTGACTCTATTCCCTACGCTTTACATCTCCATGACTAGTTCATAACTACCAATTTGTACACCTTTTCACCCCGCCCTCCAACTCCCCTCCCATCTGGCAACCATCAGTTTGTTCTCTGTATCTATGTGTCTGTTTCTGTTTCGTTTGTCTATTTATTTCGTTCTTTAGAGTACACATATAAACGAGATCATATCGTATTTGTCTTTCCCTGTCTGACTTATTTCACTTAGCATAATACCTCTCAGGTCCATCCATGTAAGATTTCATTCTTTTTCGTGACTGAGTAACATTCCATGGTATGCATACCGACTTCTTTATTGAATGGCCTTTCTTGACCCCCGCCCTGGCTGTGACCACCCTGCTCTCTCTCTCACAGCATACAGCTCTCTCCAGGCACAGTGTTCGTCCTGATTTGTAACTGAACACCCTCTGTTAGATTGTTTCTGTCCCCCAGCGCAGAGCAGTCATTACAATACTTACCGGTAGTGTCAATAGACGGCCTTTCCGGCCACGCTCATTCTTTTTCCTCCTTTTGGTAGAACCTGACTCTGCTCTACTCTCCACTCTCCCGAGACCATGTGTTTCAGGTGAGATGAGCCCTCAACACTGCCCCGAGTAATGGGGTTCTGACTGGTTTAGGCACAAGCATGAGATATAATTCTGATTAATAAATGTTAAGGAAAATCTGCCGAAGATTTCTGGGAAAGATTTAGTTTTTCCTTATTGAGAGAAAAAAAAAGATACATGGGAAGAAACAGTATTTCCTTTTCACCTAGACGATACTGTGAAGATGTGCCTAGAATAGTGGCAGCTATCTTGTGACCATGAGGAGAGCCAGCTAAGAACAAGCCATTGTCTTAAAGAGAATGAAAAACTAAAAAGAACCTGGGTCTTTAATTACGTTGCTGAGCTCCTACATTAACCAATCTTGGAGCTGACCTACCTAAGGATTTCTCGTTTGGTGAGAATAAATCAGTTTATTGTTTAAATCACTTGAATGGGGTTTTCTGTTATTTACAGTTTAAAACATTCTGACAGTATTCTCGATTCCTAGCACAGCGCTTGATATAGTAGGTGTTCAGTAAACATTATTAGTTGAATAAATTTTGTCGAAACATTGGTTGGATAACTCCACGTTTCAGTCAGTGTCTTAGAAATTATTCCAAAATTCTGAATGAGCAAGATTGATGTACGATTAGCTAACAGATCACAAACTCCGGTTGCATGTGTTCATTTAGCCGGAAGCTAAGAACATTCCTAATACTTTTCTTTTTCTCTGAGGGAGTTGCCTGTGAAATCAAACTCATTATTCTCATTACTCCTCGGCACTCAGCAATTACCTCCTCATCCCACCTTTTATTAGAGTTTAGTGTTTTCTTGTTCTTTCACTTTTTTCTACTACATGAAGTTTCTCACTCAAGCTCCTCAAAGGGTAGAAACATGTATCAATTTTCCTCTAGTCTTTCATCACACTTAGCATGGTTCTAGAACATGGCAGGTACTCTGTAGACCCTTGCTAATTGGTTAAATGAACCATAAATTAAAAAACTTGAATCCTGCCTGAAAAAACTTGTTATGGAGTTTGTCAGCATCCCATTATTTGCATGAAGTGAGGTACAATTATAAAAGGAGGGAAAAGGACACACTATTTTCTATGGCCTCGGTTCTAACATCAAGTAGACATTTACACTGAGTACTGGACAGGAAATCTTCAGGAGGTGGGCTGGGAGACCTCATTTATTATATTTCAACTTGGCCTGGATTTTATAGGGTAGAAACAGAAAAACTCAAGATGGGTCCTGTTGGTCAGCAATGCTAGTTGAAACCCTCAGTGCTAAAAGTCTTCCTTCTCTAGGAAGACATCACAAGTTAGTTTCATCCAACTTAACACTGTATTAGTTTTCTGTATAACAAATTATCACAAACTTGGTGTTTAAAATCACACAAATTTACTATCACAGTTTTCAGAGGTCAGGAGTCTAGCCATGACTTAGCTGGATCCTCTGCTCAAGGTCACAAGGCTGAGATCAAGGTGTTGGTGGGCTGCTTTCTCATCCGGAGGCCAGACTGGGGTGGGGCCTGCTTCTTAGCGTTCTCATGTTGTTGAAAGAATGTAGCTGTAGAACGATGATGCTTGCTTCTTCAAGGCCAGCTATGGAAAGAGAGTCTCTACTTCATTGACTCCTTGACCTCTAGGCCTCCTTCTAAAGGACCTACCTGATTAGGTCAGGTTCACCCAGGATGATCTTTCTCGATTAATTTAAAGTCAGCTAGTTAGGGATCTTAATTACCATTGGCATTGCCATATTCTGTGGGTCAGAAGCAAGGCAAAGGTCCTGCCCACTCAAGGGGAGGAGATTACATAATGGCAGGGATCATTGGAGGTCATCTTAGAACACTGCCTGTCACAGCTACCAAGTGCCAGCCTTCTCTTCCGTGACTCATCAGCCACTTTAGTTATTCTTGCCTGTGCTCTCAGAGCAGCCTCTCTCTATCTCTCTCTACCTCTTGTGTGTGTTCAACTATACGCAAGTGCAATTTCTTGTTTAAATTATAGTCTCCCACCTAGACTGTAAACTCCAGGAATACAGGACCTATGTCTGATTTTTCCGCCCTATTTTTTTGCCTATCACAAGGTAGATTCTCAAAATACGTGCAAAATACCAATGCTGCTTTTAAAGTCACTGCAATGATTTAGTTCGGTTGGTTGCATGTATCCATCTCATCATCAAAGTGAGGGCATGTATAATGCCTATTCTTTTAAAGACCCCTCACATTAAGCACACTAGAGACCAGGGTCATCTCCATCTTTGTACCCTTTATACACACAATATCTATATCCTCAGTAAATGATGATTGATGAATGAATTAATGAATGAACACAATAATTAAAGCTCTGAACTCGGAGTAAGACAAGTAACTACCCTGAGTCCTCACTATAAAATTGTTCTTTGACTTCTTTTGTGCACATATGAACCCAACTCATCTTTAAGAGTTCAGCTTACACTCATCCCCTACCTGAAACCTTCCTTGACCTAAGTTAGTCTCAGCAATGTTCATTTCTCTGAATTCTTACAGCATTTATGATCAAACCCCAAAGCATGACACTGTGTTATATTATTTATTTTCTACTTTATCTGTTCAGCTAGCTGTAAAACTCTTTGAAGGCATGGAGTTTTATTTCTTGACATTTTCTACAGAACCTAGCACCTAACATGGTACAGCAAAAGTTTAATAAATATGTGCTGATGTAAAACATTTCTTTTAGTTTACGACCATACCACCCTGAACGTGCTCAATCTCGTCTGATCTCAGAAGCTAAGCAGG